GAGTGTTTCACAGACGACTCTCTTCTGGCATTTGATATGAACAAGGCACATCTCAAGTAGTTGCCATAAAACACTTGGCAGGCAACTTCTCAATATCACAAACCTATAATAGTGATGTTAACAGGTGTGTATATAGAGGAATGTTTGTGTATATTGTCCTTGAATCAACCAGTAAATCGTAAAGTATCACACTTTTGCATTCATACGCAGGATGCAACAGAAGTGAAGGAAATCACTTCAGTGTCACCTCTCAATAATCCAAAAACACAATCAGAAATGCAATGCAACAAGGATGAACACACCCTGTGATCAATGGCACACACACTAGAAAAAATTTAATTATTGAAACAAAATTGAATGTAGCTGTGAGTGCCAAGTAGCCTGATTGCATGCTGATGAAAGGACCTCTGAGCATTAGAACTTAGGCTGTGTCTGTCTGCATCATGGATTCACATGGGGGGAAAAAAGAGTAAATAAAATTAGGAGATTTCACAAAGATGGAGAAGGATACAGGGAGATTGTTCTGTTGCATACTGTACATCTCTTAATGTATATGATGGCTGCCGAAATGGGTAGAATCACATTTAGATGCAATGGTTAAAAACAAAAAGGTCCTACTGGGCTCCTCAAAGATGATCAGTGACACACAGTAGATCTTGTTCCGTTAAACAATCAGACCTCAGCTCAGCTCTATGTTCAGAACAACAGAAACCTGCCTGAAGAAGAGCTGAAGATTAGTTAAATTTAACAAGATCAACTGTGAACTTTAAAGGACTGAAAGCTCCGACCACATCCTCGACTTAGCCGGTCTGTTTGCACCATCACATCACGACGTTTCCTCCTGATGCCTCTCCTCGAAGTTCCATCGTCTCCACGGTGACCAGAAATAATAAATCGGAGCATTTTCTGAAAAAAAAAATCTCCCAGGCGCCATCTTGTTTTTAAAACTTTTCCCGCCAAATTCAACCAAATTAATACCTTCAAACCACAATATCAGTTTTTAAAAAAAAATCATCGTTAACACACTCCTCACATTTTCAAACACTAAAACTAAGAAATTACACCAAAAAAAACATCAATTATCCTCTACTTTTCAAACAAGCTATTGACAATTTAGTTGCGTGACAAACTTCAAATGAAATTGTTTGTTGTCATTTTTGGCCTGAAAACACTTTCAAAGAGTTAAAGGAGGTCAGATAATGGGTTAAGTGCAGGAAAAACAAGTATTTAATTGTCTTAGCCGCCTGCTGAACGTTCAGTTTTGGCAGGTGTCCAACCAGCAGTCGCTCCTCCTCCCCTCTGACTGGTTGGCTCGCTTCCTCTTCTTCTTGTACTTTCACTTTTCCAGAATTGGTTCTTCAACAAGGTCCATCCTTTAGATGTTTCTCCTGCATTTCAGATCCCCAAAGACTACTCTTTTTTTTGTTTTTTTTTAAAGAAGGTCAACTGCAAATCCAAGTTCCAAATGAGAACAGTGGAAAGTTCTGCAGGCCTTTTTATAGGACATTGCCATTCTGTTGCTATGACGAGATGTTTCGAAAGTTCAGTGTTCAATGGATCATTGGTGCACCATCGCCATTCCCAAGTTCCAGAATAGGTGAAGAAGATGACCTTGGATGGGGATTTTTTTTTTTTTATAAACTCAGGTTTTGTCAGAATTATCTAATCCTATGATCAAACCAGATCAAATTTTAGTTTTTACATTTTTTTCTCTTTAATTTAAGGACCCCTTTAGTTGATGATACCCCTAAAAAACTAAAGATAAACCCAGAAAGAGAGACCTGACACAACCTGTTGAGGCCCATGATAGCATCTCGTCACTAGAGGGCAGAAGACGGCACGAAAAATCCCTTCGGAGGCAATTCTTCTAAAAATAGCTCATCGTCATGGAGATGGTGCTGATGCAGATAGATATAGACAGCTTAGCGTTGTTTTTCTTTTTCTTTTTTTTCTCTACCATCACGCAGCCCTTCAGTCATTCCTCACTGAGCCGCTGTAATATGCAGAGAATACGACTGTTAAGGGCTGAGACGAGATAATCTGCCCACAAAGCAGCACACAGCGTTTCACTGTCAGTGAACTAATGGTAATGATGGAGGTGAACACACACACACACACTCAGAGTCCATCACAGTGAATCTGCAGGAAGCCCCACTTCCTCACTGCTGGATTAAAGACTAAATGAGGATTAATGGAGATCCAGTTAACGGCAGATCTGCAAGGTGAACCCGATCAGGCCATTGTGACATTTTTACATTGTTTCTGTGCTGATTTCTTGAGGGTTTCTTTTGGAAATATTACTTTTAAGGAGATTTATTTGTTTAATTGCTCAAAGATATCAAAGTGAATACAGGTTTCGAAACACTGTGACCTAATTAGGCTGATTAACCAGTGGCGTGCTGCTAATGACTGACCTAACATATTAGAGTAAGTGTGTTCCCAGGAGCTGCTGAGGTCTCTATCAGCGTATGTACAATTCAGAATGAAGGTTGTAAAAGATGGTTGGGAAAGAAAACCTTTGGATTGGAAACAGTGGTTTGGAAAACAGATGGAGTTGCTCATCGGTCAACATTTCCAACACCAGGCTGAAATAGATTTTTTCCAGTGAGGGGTCAGAGGTCTTCCACGAAAAGAAAGACAAAAGGAGGACATTTGACACCGTATTTGAACAGCAGTACATTTACTCAAGTCCAACATTTTTCCCATTACAGAGGGAAACTTGAAGGAGGCTCAGGTGGTAGATCAGGTTGTCAACCAATCGTAAGGCTGGAGGAGGGAGACAATGAACCCTAAGTTGCTCCCGACGACAGACGAGCACCTTCCACAGCTGCTCTACCGCCATTAGTGTCGTATAGAAAACAGCTGAGGTTCAAATGGTGCTACATAAGTGTGAACCATTTAGCTTAGGGGTTTTTTTATACTCCTTGCCGACTGCTTGCTCATAGGGAGTCCAAGGGCAACTTTGGATTGTTGGGTTCTCTGTTCAGAATTCGTAAAGTCTCCACCTTACTATGTTAAGCGCTGTTAGATGACATATGTTCTGAATTCATGCTATGTAAATAAAATAATTGAATTGAACTTCTTACTACATTTATCCATACAAGTCAGGATTTTACATATATCCTGTGGGACTGCAAGTTCCTGACTGACAAGTTGCTGTTGGCTAAACCAACCAGACATGGCGATGGTAGACAAGAAGCAGAAGAGGGTAGATAGATGTGACAATCCCAGTTGACAGGCAGGAGGAGGATTAGAAGATCTAGGAATAACCGAAGGAACAACTGGACCAGATGAGGAAGGTGAAGTTTAAAATGGTCCCAGTGGTGATAAGGAGAGATTCCAGGTACAACATCGGAGGTCTCTGTTCGGAAGAGGTGTCCTGTTATAGGTTTCAGATGTCTGCCAGTCTGCAAAAGGGTGCTTCCCCTCGATGTATAGCGCAATTTTAAATTCAGTTTGAGATCCAAAGAGATCAAGTCAATCAAGATTCAATCGAGAAAGATAAAAAGGATTTATATCAAATCTCTGCTGTTTTCTGAGCAGATGTGATCCACTATTTTATTTAAACGCACTGTTGCAGGATAGAAATTGAAATTAAGTGAAGCAGCTACACTTTATAATCTCAAGTATTGACACAATATTGGAACAATGTTGGCAATTACTGCAACTTACAACTAGAATTGATTTCAACTCCAATTCTTTGCTCACTGATTAAAGATTAAATATAATCAGTGGTGACCAAATGCAAGCAGCTTGAAACATGTGCAGAGTCACAATGAGGTCTTCTGTTGATTCTACTTAATGTGAAGTTGTGATCAGTCAAAAAGCTTCATGTATTCACACACCAGAACAGCACAACTCTTACCAAAACGAACAAAGTCAGTCAAAACTATTTCAGTTTGTTAATTCATGCAAACCATCTGAAAACGGTTGTTTCCATTGTAATTATTGCAGAAAATAGAATGTGTGAAGTTTTGATGAAATGATAGGGAGTTCTCTGGATGTCCTGTGTGATGTGTGATGTGGATCTAAATCAAAGTCAATGTGGATTTTTGCACTTTCCTCCTAGATTCCTCACACTGCAGAGCGTCTGCAGCCGGCTGGTTCTGCTGCCTGTAGATGGAGCCGCTGCGCAGCGTTTCCAATCAGGAAGCGCTGAGAGGGATTGAACTTCGTCAAGTCACACACCGCGTATTAAGAAAAAAACGGATGTGAAGCTATTATACCTTCAAAATAAAAAACAAAAACAAACATCTCCAAAAAACCACACCAAAAACAAAAACAAAACAAAAAAAAAAAGTTCAACTACCGATTTAAAAATAAACAAATAAATAAAACTTTAAATATTTAAATATATCGGCGCTACATTTCATTTTCATTTACCACTTTCACAGCTGTTAAAACGTTGAAAGGAACATACAACGCTTGTTTCGTCCTGATTGTTGTTGGACTTGTAAATGAAGATTAGGAACTTGTGCACAATTTTAACAACAGCAGATTTAGAACTACCAAAACAAAAACAAAACAAAACAAAACAAAACAACAACAGCAACAACAACAAAACAGAACCAAAATGTAAATGCATGTAAAAATGCAAGTAAGTAAAATTAAAAGTAAATTAAAAGTAAGAAATTGTGCAATTCTGGTGTTAAAACCCCTTTTACTTAGGGTTTTGAAAACCTTAATTATTTCATTCATTTTTCCTTTATTTTGTTCACGTTAAAACCTTACACAAGTAATTTTAAGCAAATAGGCTTTACGGTTGTCTTTTATTAGAGTACAAGAAAAAAAAAAATACACTAAATAATAATTATTGTTAGCATTAATTAACAGTCATTTTCCCTAAAGAACATCCTAAATACGCCTACTTTTACATCGTCAAAACAGCGCTTGAGTAGTTTTATTGTGAAGGTTCCTTAGCGGAAGTGGAACTCCGTACATTAATTCTGTCTTGACCGCGGTCAACTAATCCAAGTGTCAGTGTAGAAACAAACACAACAGCAGGTCGCGACGTCCCTGTCAAGTCCAGGACTAAGCCGGGGTCTGCAGGCAGGAGCCGGGAGTACCGACGCCGAGCTTTCACCGCTTTAGGACTTCAACTTCTAACTCATTCCCTACTTTTATTTTTTTTATTTATTATTTTTTTTTGCTCTCCGAAAGGCGACAAGTGGCACTTTTGGGACACGGAGAGGGAAAAAGGATTTGTGGAGCGTATTAGAAGCGGCTGAGGCTTTCAGTTTCCCGAGTCCCTTTGCTCACCTTGTACCATGGCTTCTACCACCTGCACCAGGTTCACTGATGAGTACCAGCTGTACGAGGAGCTGGGGAAGTAAGTTCTCTTTCTGTTTTGACTTTTTAAAAAATACAAATTCTTAGAGAAGGTGAAGCTTCAATTGTCCGCTGCTTCTACTGCCGCTGTTTAAATACACCGATACCTGGGCGCCTACCTGCTCCCACCTTGATAGGTGGCGCGAGCGCGTATGGGCAGGACCAAATCCCATTCAAAAAATCCACCGTTTTACTTTTACTTTGCTTGTGAGCGAAAATCGACAGCGCGGATATACTAAAGACTATTTAAATGTCACCTTAGCTTTATCTCTTGAATTCGTTTGAATACTTTTTGTTCTCTCTTGTGTGTCTGCGCTGTTTGACTTGGTTCTCTCTATTCGTTAACCGTCCTTTGCGTCTATTTCGCCTGCCCTGATAACGCAGGTGAACTGATTTTAAAAGTTTCAAAATTTAAATGGAGCACCGCCCAGTGCATTGGAATGCATGCCGAATATTAAAACGGCTCTTGAGAGTTTGTCAGTGTGCATGAAATATGCTTCAACCAGCTTTATTATCAAGGAGAGTGAGAGAAAAGCTTAAAAATACAGAAATTTGAATGTAATTCGGTCAGCTGGCTCACCTGCGACGCTCACCTTTACGCAAGACTCTCTGTGTGAACCTCAATGTGTTTGTCACTGATCTGGCCTCAAGTTTCCGCCACGTCGTGCAAAATGCCAAATGTTTGAAATTCCTCAGTGTTGTCTGTGCTTTACACAAATACATGCAGTTTGTCTAGAATCGTGTATTTCCAGCGATCAGCCAAAATGTGCGCTTAGATATGACAGATTAATCTTGTGTTGAGGTTGGAAGGTGTGGCTCTCCGTGCCTCAGGTGAACTCATGCAGGCTGCCAGACATTGTTTTAAAAACCACAGGGTGTACTTTGAGTGAAAGTATCGGCTCAGATTATTGATCACTTTACCTAAATACCAGCCATTGCATGCATTGTTGCTCCACTTTGACTTCAGGACTGTGTTTTGTAATTACTCATAAAAATAGATCCAAGCAAGTCTGGGTTTATTGAACATGTGCCTTGAAGCTAAATTCCTGTATTTCGCAATTTGCAATAGACAACAGGCTGCTGTTCCAGCTGCATATTTTTAGAATGAGCACCTGTTTAAAGCCTTTAGAAAGTGGATTTGTGAGGGCAAGGTGAGATCTGAAATGTTCCCCATTTAAAGAAGGTGTGGCTCTTTGAAGGAACAGTGATCAAAGCACTTTTTTAAAGAGCAAATCAAAGTGACACGCTGATTAAATGTATTCTGTTCAGAAGGTATGCAGAGCAGTCCGACACCAGATCTGCACCTCTGATGGTTTCATGTTTACACTTGTTTCCGTCCGTTCACATACCTTTCCCAACAATAAATACCTCTTAGGTACTTTCTTGCATTATTATTTTTTTGTTGGCAAAAAATCCTGCCAACATCTGTTATTACCATAAAACAGTCATGTTCATGAGGCACATTACAACACTATCCACACGGTTCCAAACAGAGATATGCAGCGATATTAACCCTCTGAACTCCACTTTTTTCCTCTCTGTGGGCTCATGTTTCACTGCAATTTCAAGTCCTGCACCACTATGGAAACAGAACAAGCATTGTTAGAAGTAGAGAGAACTCCCACAGGTCTTCTGTGTGGTATGACACAGTTATAATCCATCTATCCATTATCTATACACTGCCTAATCCTCACTAGGGTCGTGGGGGGGGAGTCTATCCCAGCTGGGTGAAGGCAGGGGACACCCTGGACAGGTCACCAGTCTATCACAGGGCCACACTTAGAGACAGACAACCAAGCACACTCACATTCACACCTATGGACAATTTAGAATCACCAATTAACCTCAACATGTTTTTGGACTGTGTGGGAGGAAGCCGGAGAACCCGGAGAGAACCCACGCTGCACGGGGAGAACATGCAAACTCCAAACAGAAAGATCCCGAGTGTCCTCACCGGGATGTGAACCAGCGACCTTCTCGCTGCGAGGCAACGGTGCTACCCACTGAGCCACCTTGCAGTCCCTAGTGCCAGAAAATGAAAAAGAAAAAATTGCATTATTATGTTTAACATTTGTCCAAGTTCTTCCAGTACTTATCAAATCCAGAAAGATATTTCACCATGTTGAATGTATCCTTCAACAACTTTTTGACAAATTTCTCCTCTGTATAACATTTTTGAGCCATGCTGCATGTAATTTATTGCTCAAGTATGTTTTTATTTCCCTCTCAATCTCTGTAATTGGTTTCCATACTTCATTTTTACCTGCTTTGTGAAGACACAGCCTGCGATTCAGCCAAAATATGCAGAATGTTTGTCATGTTGGTCTGCTTCTTGGTTAGAAACTCTTTATTTTTGGCAATTTTCTTTAGAACAAGACCTGCAGAGCAAAGTGATTTTTATAAACTGCCACAGTTTTAAGGTTAGGATGCACATGTTGGGGTCTGGACATACTTAAAGTTCTCCTGCATGTACTCTACTTTTTTTGACCCTTACTTTCTTGTTGCAAACAAGAAGTTATGTTGTTTTACCTGAATATTAATGTTAAATAATATATTTATAGATGTTGAATTTTTATTAGTTAGTATGCTGTGTTTGCTTTTAGCCACGATATTCAGGGGTTTTCAGGCTCAGAAATGAGCCTTTGGGGGATGACTGTGCATGAGTAAACATAATCAGTCCATGTGCAGTGAAGGCAGTGAGTCTGCATTTGCTTATTTGACAGAAATATCAGCATTTTTCTTCATTTTTGACCATTAGAAAAACTAATCTTTTAATTCTGAATTCTTGTTATTTTGTTGTTGGGGATTTTTCTGTGGTGCAGCTGAAACCTCTTTGGGGAGGAGATGAAAATTCTTCTATGCAGGAAAAAAAAAGTGCCCCGAAGCAGCCCAGTACACAGTCACGATGGAGATCTGTGAAAAATGTAGTAGCTGAATAGATCTGAAGCATAAAAATGCGCTTCACACCACTTTGATAGTTGTGTGACGCAAGTTAACTAGTGTGATTAAAGTCGAGGTGATTCTGTTCTCTAAAATGAGCTCAGGATGGACGACTGGAAAACAGGTTTTCTGCGTGGACACGTAATGAACCTGAGTCTTGAAAACGTGACGACTTTTCTAAACTTAAATCTGTCTCGAGCTGCAGAAATGAGGACTTGTAAGAAGTTGAAATTCAAATACCCAAAGAATCCAGTTGAGACTTGAAGGCAAAAAAACTGATCAGCCTTCGCCAAAAATAATTAAATACTTGGTGTTGTTTTGGTCATTGTACTCTTCTTTTTTTTCATATAAGCACTGGATTGAAGTCTTGTCTCTTGACTTGGACTCTCACTTTAAGGCTTCATTTGGTTTAAAAAAACTGAAGTGAAAACATGTACGTTTGCATGCAGGGCCTTCAGAGACGTTTTGCCAGAATGTATGAGTGACAAAACAAATGTGTGGTTGACACATTTCTTTCTGCAGCCTCATAGTACCACCCAACTGCAAGATCGTAGCAGCTGAAGTTTCCTCTTCGTTTGCATAAAGAGGAAGATTGTGTTTTGTTCATCTGGTAGGCGAGAAGTGCTTTACATGACTAAAGCAAATAAAAAATGTAGTTAAAACCATACCAGCCCAAAGAAAAAATGTACTGGAGGCTGGTTAAAGTAGCCCCAGGACTGCAATAAATGGCTAAAAATGAGTGATAAATATAAGTGACATTTGAACCAGAGCTACCGCCTCGTGGCAACTATCCAAACTCCATCCGCTGATGAAGCTGTAACACTGTTCAAAGCCTCATAGCACGTACAGCGAGTGCACCTTGAGTTGAGATTGTTTTGTCAACTGCTGTGTCCAAGGTCGAGAATATACTGTGGAGCTTCACGATGGGATGTTCTGTTCATTAAAACGTCTATCAAAAGAGGCCACACAGGGACTGAGAGGCGAGAGGACGCCTAATGTGTCTGTGATTCACATTTCAGTGCCTTTTTCGCAGCTAAATCTGAATTTGTCCTTATATATTTTAAAAATCCTACCCTGCAGTGACTAATCCGAACTCTTTGTGTCCCGTAGGGGTGCTTTCTCTGTGGTGAGGAGGTGCATGAAGATCTCCACAGGGCAGGAGTACGCTGCAAAAATAATCAATACCAAGAAACTGTCTGCCAGGGGTGAGTATAGGACTGACGAGTCCATGTTGCTTTAAGCTCCTAAAACACTGCTGTCTTAGTAGAGACGTATGGCTGTGGCAGAAGGTCACGTTAAACAGTATTTTTTGCTTAAAATGGTTCCGTTTTAAAGCATGTCACCCCTCCAACCAACTTCCTCATTCTTTTCAACTGTACAGTTTCTCACGCCTCTGCCGTTTTTTTTTTCTTTCTTCTCCTTGTCACATCTGTAGTAGCGGGAAGGAGTCATGGTTCAGATTGTGGCAGCCACACTAACCACAGCTTACTCCTCCAGCTTTTTTTTTTAAATTCCCCCTTTTTTTTTTTCTTTTCATCGCTTTCCTTTTTTGTCATCGAAGTGGCACCGACATGAACAGCAGCTTTTGTGACTCATTCCCTGATATCAACCACAGCCTCTGATTTTTGATGAGCTGTATATGACTCACAGAGCTGTCTTTCACATTAAAACACAAGCCGGTGAAGGCATCACGCTGGCAGAACTGACAAAAAACTCTGTTCACTGATGACCTTTCTTTTTCTTTTTGTGCGCTTCCTTCTGCAGTGGAGCGTCTGTCCAGAAAGCGGAGGCATTTATTCATTATTTTATTTCCTCACCTTTTTTTAATATTATTCTCTCTATCATTATCTGTTCACCGTGGGCCGAGCCTTCCGCTGCCTGCTAATTGATCCACGCTCAAGACCCCAACGGGCTGACGGGAGAGCGCACAAACACACAAACGAAAGGAGATATGCTCGAACAGTTTGCGGGGTGATGGCGAGCACAGCAGCAGCAGATGTAGCATCTCACGAGGGGAAGCGGGGGATTTCCTCACAGCATTAGCAGCTGCGTGAAGAAATGCAAAATGATTGGTAGATGGGGTTTTTAAAAAGAAACATGACAAACAGTGAAACAGAAACTAAAAGGAGAATGTCCGTTTTTTGTTGTTGATGGATCCAGTGACACAGAATCTCTATTCATCCTTAATGTAAATGGCCTGAATGAAAACCCTTGTGGTTCCCTGGTCTAATTGTTGCAGCTCCAGAGGTGAGGGGAGAGTTTTGGGCGAATAAAGGGAGGAGAGCTGAAAGAGATGAGGGCAGATGTTTATAGTAAGGAAGTTCATGATTGATTCCACACTCAGATAGCCTTGGCTGAACGCCTTCACACAGCCCGAACCTCGCTCACCTGAAGGAGAAAATAAGACTGTGTGATTGTAAATCCCTGGTGTTCGTACAAGGTCACGGCAAACTTTTCATGAAACTCAGGAAAAAAAACTAACTTGTACGTTGTTATTTTTGCGTTTATTTAGTAGAGCTCAGTCCAGAAGGGTAATTCTGGTTTATTATTATTACTTGGATCTTATTTTTATAGCTTTGATCATTGTTCTTATCTTAAAAATTAACATTGCGCTGTTGAAATTTAAAGCAGCCGGGCAGGTTTTAAACCAAACTGCATCTGATTCAGCTTTGACCTCACCAGGGTTTGTCCTGGCTCAGGATGGGCCTTCAGGGGTTGACTGTACACAACAGTAAGCATCATCAGTCTGTGTTGTATAACGGTATCTTATTTGTTAACTTATGTGACAGAAAACTGTGTATTTGGCTGTTATTTTTGACCATTTGCCACTATTTGATTATGTCTGAGGAAGTGAAAACCCAGGTTAACAACAAGCTGGCTGCAGTTGTCATCCATACAGTATGTGTGGTTTAGTGGTTTAGATCGACTGGCTAACCTGTTGACATGTTAAGCCTCCTGACTGCTTGTGTTTCTTGCCCTGTTGGACTCCAGAGCTCAGCAATTTCTTTGAATCAGGGCTGTAGTCAAGACCACTTTTGGCAATACTTTTAGGAAACAATAGATTGCAGTTTCATGGGGGTTGTGTGCTGGACTATTTCTTGGTTCGAAACAGTCATTTCCTTGGTTGCCAGGTGACCAACTGAGGTTGAGAAGTGACCGCTTGTATCTGCCACATAATCCCCATAAAACCAAATGTTAATTTGGTTTTAGCCCAGACCTATTTCAGGTCGTCTTGACAGTGTCTTTCAGTGGTTGCCACTGCATGAAACAGGACTTTTTATTTATTTGACTATTTAAATCTGCACCAAAAGGCTCTGCGTGATGAGTAAAAAGCCAGATCCCACACAAAAAACTATTTCTGATTCAGATGCACTCCCCAACAAAATCAACTAATTCTTTCCAAATAGAACTGATGAAGTCATGTGGAGAAAATTTCTTTGTATGTTCATATCGCAATATATTCAAGAGAAACAATGTCACTTTTTTCCAGCCCTACTTTATAGTAAGGATGACCCAATCAAGTTTTTTGATCTACTAAAACAACATTGCAGGTCTGTGTAATTTGAATTTGACAAACCTTGCATGTCACAGGCTTTTGACACCAAATACCAGCTGAAATAGATTTAAAAAAGTAAAGTACAGCAAGATTCATGTTTGTGATTTAGCCTTAGTTTAGCTCAAATATGCCTGGATCAGCCTAAGGTCTGATAAATCAGATTGGCTGAAGATGTTTCTACATTGTGATGATCACAATGTTCTTTTCTGTGATGGAGATGATCGCGACTAGGAAAACAAAGGTCCAGATTGTGTAAACCAGATGTGTGTTAGAAAGAAAAACTATACCGTAATTGTAAATCATGGATCTGTCTGTCATGAAATGGCCTCTAGTCTGAGGCTAATACACCATTCCAAACACCGAGCAGGCACTCCTGGTGTTTGTCCATTTAGATTTTCAACTGAGTCATTGCGAGACAGCTCTGGATGAGTCACAGACTGATAAAACCAACTAAATTTGTTTATTTATACATGCATAGTACAATTATTCAAATATCGAAAACCACAATCTGGCTTACAATGGTTTTAAATGACAGCAGCGATGTTCAGGAGAAATAGAGGTGAGAACAGCACTGACGGCGCTTTCTGTCTTCAGGCAACTACATGCAGATACAGTGCAGTGCTGCTGGACCCGCTGATAGATATTAAAGCGAGCAGGCTGAACTGAAGGTCACGTTCAATGAGGGGAAACCCCAGAGTCGGTGCCAATGCTGCCGCTGCCGCTGCTACGTGATGAGAAATCCTAAACAGGAAGCTCCATCTCATTGGAGAGGGTTTATGTGGCTGTAAACCTTGGCTTCACATCAACACAAGTACTTTCTGGTGAAGGACCTTTCAAAGGAGTATTGACGTTTCTGCGATGTACTACAACTGAACTTCAAAGTGTACTGATAGGAAGGCTTTCTGACTGAAGGTATCTCAGAAGTCGGTGCTTTCAGAAGGCCACACAGTCCTAATCAAGTGTGTGGTGGGCATCGATTGTTCATCAGCCTTGACTGTGTGAATACATTAGTTATATGTCTGAATTTCAGTATTTTCCACATTTGAATACGTCAGCATTGCTTGTTGCATATTTCTATCAAACATTTGTCTTTCTACAGAATTTCCTGTGAAAATTTAAATGTGCCGTCACTTGCAGCATCTTGTCAGAATATATTATAGATGAAGCGCAGTACAAGGTCATCCCATCCACACAGAGGAATCAGGAAGTGGGCCAGCTGGATCCTCGTTGTAAAACACGTCAGCCACAGCAGTAAAATGAGCAATTATTTAATAGTTGTTGTTAACTGTCATTTTGTATCTTTGCAGCTTCTTTGAGACAGGGCTGCGTTCATGATGCTGTTATAAAATGTATATGGACTGGCTTTGCAGATATTTGAAATTGTGGTTGGTGTATATGTTTCAACACATTGATATCATCAGTTTCAGCCCTGAAAAGCTTTCAGATGAAATACTGGCATTGGCAAAGTGTTGTGTTGTGGGTAAACAAGTGTAAAAAGTACCACTTCAGATGCATTATGTTTAAAGATGGTTGTACAAACAGCCAACAGTTTATAGTTTTAGGACCTCACAGGACGCTATTACTGTTTTATTAATTTAGATTGTTGAGAGAATGAACAGTGATAAATGAAATGAAGCAACACTGTCAGATGGGTTGTCACATTTAGCAGCTTGGCCTTGAAGACAGGGTATAGGTAGCGGTTTTAGACTCAAGCAGAGTTTTTCTTATATTGCAGACCATAACTTGTCACTGATTTTTTTTTTAGTTTTTTAAAGCAAAATTCCTGTGTGGAAGTTTCTGTCTGGACAAGTTTTAAAAAATACACTGAGGTGTTTTAAGTATTGTATTGGCACCATCCAAGCATTCATCCATTATCTATACACTACTTAATCCTCACTAGGGTCATAGGGGGGCTGGAGTCTATCCCAGCTGACTCAGGGTGAAGGCAGGGGACACCCTGGACAGGTCACCAGTCTATCACAGGGCTACACTTAGAGACAGACAACCAAGCACACTCACATTCACAGCTACGGACAATTTAGAATCACCAATTAACCTCAACATGTTTTTGGACTGTGTGGGAGGAAGCCGGAGAACCTGGAGAGAGAACATGCAAACTCCAAACAAAAGGATCCCGGGTGTCCTCAGCAGGATGTGAACCGGCGACCTTATGGCTGTGAGGCAACGATGCTAACCACCGAGCCATCTTGCAGCCCTGTATTAGCACTAGTCAAGTGGTTATATTTATATTTGTTGGTATGCTTCCGGCAAGCAAATATAGCTTTTCTTTGACAGCTTTCTTGTTATGAAGAGCACAGACATGTTGGCGTTGCTATGATTATTTGTTTTTCCCATTAGCTTTTTGTTAAATATGGCAGCACTTCTTTTTATTGTGCTCTTCGCTGTCCTTTTTGTGTGTGCTATTAAGCAGCTGGCCAGATGTTCTCCCCTTTTCAGCTAATTCTGTCCATTTTATCTGCCCTCTCTGAAATTCACTATAGAGTAAGGTTGAGCACCAGTACCAATTTGCAAAACGTGTCTGTATGTGTGTTACTTAAACAGAGCCCCTCTTTTCAAAATAAAAGTCCTTATACTTGGGCAATTCAGTACATGTAACTGCAACATTATCCAGATGTACTGAACTGAAAG